GCGTTAAAGGACGCCCCTCGATGCATACCAAAATGATCGCAAGTGTTTGTTAGTATTATGGTGATGAGGAGAAGGAGAAGGAGGAGAAAGATCTTGATGGCACTGACGATGAAGATGCTTTCCAAGTTTAAACGTAATAGAATGTTCTTTGTTGAACATCAAGCATCCTTATGAAGTGCTTGATATCACTCATAATACGAGATGCTGTCAATAACGGCTACATGAAGAGAAATAGTCGCAGGTGTGACGTTTGCCAGCTTCGATTATACTAGGCTCATTGCATATAGATTATCCCGCGCATCAGCTTACATAAACAGCTTCATGCCTGGGTTTTAGAGTCATCTTAATAACAACTAGGCCTACCTAGTAACTCAATTTCCATTTTCTCAGACATGAACATTATCAATGTATTGCGAACAAAATTAAACATTTTGATTGTTTCAGTAAGCCATTGTCCATGATCTCAGAATCCTTGTTTGGAAAAACATCCTTCCTACCCGATCTCAGCCCCCGCAATAGTGCTTATCCACCCCTCCTCCTTTCTTTCTCTCTCCTTCCTCTGTTTCCTCTCTTCCATTCCTGCTTCAATTTATTTGTTGTTTATACATCCCATCCTCTCCCTCTCTCCCTCCCTTTCTCACTGTCTCTCCATCGGGTATTCTACGTTCTAGTTCTATTTCTGTCCATTTGATATTGAGTCGACTCTTTTTCTCTCTGCCCCCCCCCCCCTCCCTCTCTCGCTGTCTCTCTGCCTCTCTACATCCACATAACTCTGTTTCTCTCCCTCTCTCTCCTCCTCCATAAACATTCCGTCATGATCATGATGTCTTCAACTTCCTCGCGCCAAAACACAAATTGCTTGTCTCAACGCGCCACGCTGTGTTCACATTACACGTTATCCACCTTCGGGGCATGTTCTCTCTTCCTTGGATCCGTCTGGCTACCTCCAACATGAGCCCGAGTATACGTGTCTCTATCTCGATAACATCATACCTAGGTAGGTGTTACCTGTCGAAACCCCCTTGATCACGGCAATGATTACTCCGTAATACGACATTCAGCCCCGGTCCTCTCGAGGATACAGGCTCTTCTCGCTTCACACTTGTTGTTGTTGTCGTCGTCGTTGCTTTTCTTACCGACTGGAAATTATGTCGTCGCCTTAGAACTGTGGGATAACATGGACTGTACTTCATGTGCATTACCATGATCGCGTGCTGTACCCACTGCCGCCACATTGTTGCGTTATGGTTAACCCAGGTCATGCACATCCCCAGATTGCGTCCGAACTTGTTACCTTGTGCAATGAGCAATGGCATCTTACTTATTCTGTATTATGCACCCGGGCCATGGTACGAACATAACAGACCGTTGGCACAGAAGAGGGGTGTATATTATTGTATTAGGGTCTGTAGTTTGTTATCAACTGAAAATGCTTTAAAAAAAATGAAATTAAAAGAATGACCCGTGTCAGATGTTATACGTTAATTTCTTAAACTGCTCGTTTGTTAATTATTTGAATAGAAAATGAAAATAAGTACAAATGCAGATAACTTGTGGGATGTATAGATATTATTATCTCCTCAAATCCACCAAGGTAGATTCAGAAACTAGGTAATTTGAGTACCTGTTGAGTGCATTCACACTAACACAATCGAACAGTTGACAACCCCCGGTTGACATGGGCTTATGAGCCCGCAGCGCAAACACAACATCAGAGTGGGCTATGCACTATCATCGTGGTCGTCTAACACCCCGTGTTAACACTCCCTTGCCGTACACGAAGAAGTAATTTGTCTCTGTAAGATGATATTTTCTACATTCAGTGTACATTACACAATCAGTGTCTGATTTCAGCGACTAATCTACGCGTTTTTTCCTCCTCCTTACTCTTCGGTCTTCTTCGAGACGTTAATTAATATACGGCGATCATTGACCCTTCCAACATGCATGAGATGATGACGTAGTGAGTTCCTTCACCGATGTCATCTATATGAGTCAGGGAGGATTATTAAAGGAATAATACACACCCACACACCCGCACGCACAGATCTTGTTGATATTGCATCCCTGAAGCATCTTGGCGTTGCATATGACTAAACTGCTACGAACCTCTTTCGCTGATCCCGAAAATTCATGCGCGCGCGTTGTTATTCACAATCCATGTTTATTTCGCTGGTCTATGACTGTGACGAGCTGTCTTGCAGTGATTCGTTTTCACGGTGATAAGTTGTGTGCCAGGGAGATGATTGAATTTCAGTGTTGCTATGTCGACAAAAACCTGGTGCAAACCAACCAAATTATCGGGCATGTTCCAGATAAAAAGCGTGCTGTATTAAAATTAACGTAAACTGGTTCTAATAATCCGTCTGACTGGGGCCTGTAAATTAATCGGGCAATTGTTTTGACTCACGATTACGTCATGTAGTTCACCCTATTCTAGGTCGAACTCTAGCCCTAGTAATATCGACCCTAGCAATACAAAACCATTTCGGTGTATGGGAGTTCTATTTAAGGTGTATAGGTGAAGGTTCTTGACTCATGAGAGGTCCTCGGTTAGCTAGGTAAGATCCTAGCTCTGTGGTTACATCCGTGGACAAGGGCTCTTAGGAGCAGTATCGTTAATTCCGATGTGGCTACCGTAGGTAAATAAGACAAAAAACATTATTGTTATCAGTCCCTCTAGACAGAGAATATGACGAAGATTGTTTTCCCCAAGTGAAATAACATAAATAGAGCAGTTTTACCTATATATTCATGATATCAAAGTGGTGAGGTAAAGCAGGCCCCCTACATTGTAATCTTTATTTACATTTCCCCTGCCATCGATATTCGGAGCTTAGCGATTTCAAAATTACACAGCTGTACTTGGCGGAAGCTATAAGTTGATGGCGCTATACCCAACTTTTGATCGGCTCGTTCTAAAAAAAAAACGTGCAGCAAGTGAAATGTGGTAGATACAGATGAGTGGTGTTAAAAAAATAATCACACAATATTATAACGATAACAACTTTGCTGGCTTTAAAGGTGCCTGAATACATAATACATGGTACCTTTTTACACCATGCAAAGATTTTTTTTAAATTTGTATTTGTTATATTAGGCCTCAGCAATACAAAGCCACTTTTGGAGTATGGGAGTTCAAAGTGTCGCTTACAATGCCCCCCCCCCTCCAGTGATACATGTGGGCCATTAGACAAACGCAAACGTGCACATCCGATGCTTCTTCTTCCTTTATTTTCAAATCCAAATCTAAATTTAAAAAACTTGGTGATATCCCCCCCCCCCCCCTAGCATACTGGGCGTTTGGTATTCCGCAACATAATGTATGATTAAACATAATAGCACAAACCCCATTAGGAGTATCTGGGGACCGGTTTCTTACCGACCCAGAAACAAAATAATGACTTTCGCATTGTAATGATACTCCTAATGGTCTGTGGTTTTTGACATACCAAGATTAATGTTCTCTATGATTGTACGTACTCCATATAATATTTCCTGACCGGAATTCTGGGTTCAGATAAATCTGTACTGGTAGGCCTCTGTCAGTGACTGTCAAATACACGTAGGACATTAGTCAAATAATGCGTAACGCACTCAGGCTTTGTAAGAAGAAATTACTCATTCACTCATGGTTGTATTTCTGCACCTTTTCAAACATTATAAACATTAAAGAATTTCCTAATCACTAATATTTACATAGAATAACAAAATTAACTGAAGAAACCAGATGAATCTCTGACCTATTTTATTTCAAGGGATAATTAGTTTGCTTTGCACAAAAATATATAGCTTTATTTATTCACGGTAGTTTTGTACTAACATGAATCTATTTTCTATGTGGTGATTAACAACAAAAGGAAATAATGTCGCGGGTTCAAAAAACAATGAAGATATCAAGCATGGATAAAGTTGGATCGAAAACTAGAAAGCGGCTGCATGGCTGCGTGGATATTATTTTAACAAACCTTGTGATATATATTTTTTTTAAATACACCACGGAATATGAACTAGGTCTGATGGAATTGTAGTTCAAATGATGTAAACAGTTATCAAACGAGAATAATAAATGCACTTACATGTACATGTAAATGTATTTATAAAGAATTTTGCACCTAAATGTATACCATTTATCAAAATATAAATAAAATGTAGAAAATAGAATGTAGAAAAATGTACAAAATAATTGTTTGTAATAGTGCATGAATAAAATTATTAAAATGTTAATATAAAAAGTAACATGGGTGTTAGACGCATTTTCTGAAAATGTCAAAACTGCAGTACTCATAATAATATTAATAATAATAATATGCTTAGTCCCCTCCCCCAACCCCCGAAAAAGACACAAAAACTCACATTATTTTAGCCCACTCCACCCCCCCCCCCCCCCCATTACTATTGATATCTACGCTTTTTACTTCCAGATTCCCTCTATCTCTCTCTCCTTCTCTCCCTACATTGATTGTAAACAAACCCACTGCGGTCAGTGTCCCGAACTGACCCGCAAAGCCTATTACGTAACAGCTCCGCTCGCTGGCTAGACAGCGCATTGTTGTTAGTGGTCAACATCAACACGTGACTGTCGACCGTTGGTATTGAGGGGTGAAACCGGGTCATGGTCATTGGGTTGCGCTTGACCACGTAGATTACAAACAGGAATGTGAAATGACTCATATCAAATATCGCCTCTCTCCGCAACCCGAGCCCTGCACGGTGCGGTGGAAATCTATCACATTCCATTGCCCAATCAAAATTGGACATCCCCGTGCATCATGACGCTGTAGGGCTAACAAAAACTGACCGTCAATGGAAAGACTACGCTCTGGGGTCTAAACCCCCGCGAACCAATCAAAACTGCAAGCCGCTCGTCTGCTATCTGATTACGTGCATTCATTCGTTAACTGATTAGCACGCCGTGCCGTGGCGTACACAAATTTCACTCATTACCGCCACCCTTATAAACATTGTGTCGTCTGCTCCTGATGGCATGTCGCGTGGCGCACTGTCGGAAGGAAAGAAATCTCCCAACTCTGCTCTGTCCCCGACCAACTTGATTCAGTCAGTCGCCTTCCTTGTGTTGGAGCGCTTGGTATTCAGTGTGTCCATGAGGAAATGTGAACCTTCAGCTATCGGTCATCTAAGGGCAATCTGCCAGTGTCGTTTGGTGGACGTACAGTCAAGTATTTCGTGTGTACATGCTTTCACGCCGGTATAGATCAAGCAAGGTGACATAATCAACAAGCCGGAGAACGAGGCAAGGAAAAGGCAAAAAGAAGGAAGGAAAAAAAGAAGAGGAAAGCAATTGACTGTGAGCTCTCGTTGTGTAGACATTTATGGTGATTTTTTTTTTCTTGGACTTTGAGAAGAATTTGAAGAAAAAAAAACACTCTTATCTTGTCACCTAGTGGCATCAAAATCATCAACTACATAAATATAGGAGAGGTTCTGTTCGCCTTAATTTTTTAAGAAAGAAAATTGCCAAGATTCTTCGTCTTCATGGTTCTACATGGTATGTGATATCAATACAAATTTTTATTTTCACCACGTTTATCTCTTGACATTATTTGTATGACTGTATTTCATCCATTCATTTATTCCTTTGTATTCATTTATTTATTCTTTTCTATAATAATAATAATAATAATATTCCGCTAAATATAGCGATGTCTCTAAGCGCTTTACATATCTACTGTATACAGGTCGATGTGAACCATTAGGCTATTACAATAACCATTTGCCATTTGGGGGATAATAAATTGAGTTATCTTTGAAATTATGGTCATAATCATAACATGATAAATACAATAATTGGTTGAAAATCTTTTATTTTCTGATTTATAATTGTGCAATGCAGAAAAAATATCAAATAACGTTTTCTTCCATTTTTACAATTATTAAAGAAGTTACTATTAAAATGTAATGTAGTCCATATAGATACACGTAATTGACAAACCCAGGGGAGTTGTCTCGTTTTACTATGGAGACATTATTTCTTTTAATTACAAAATTTTCCTGAAGTAGCACTGAAGCAGAATTAATATGAAGTAAGATTTTAGCATAGGTGTCAAAAGCGACGAATCTCGATCGCCAGTTGTCTGGCTTCACAATAAGTAAGAGCATGATAAACATGTATACAAAAAAATAGTCGATTCATCATCGACAATCTGGCAAGGCAAGGCACCTCTTTCCCTTCGTTAATATCATTGAACAAACGACTTTTGACACAATCAAAGGTATTTCACAATATCTCACTCAGTCCAGTCTTCCCTTATAATATTGTCCGGCGAACTGAACTCAGTTTCATTCAGGCATGAACGTTTAGTTATTACCGATTTATTTATTTATTTATTTATTTATTCACGATTTCTTTCAACAGGGTAGTTTCATTCAGTACACTTTAAACCCAGTGGACTTGCTTTTCAAGAAAGCCTTGCATAATACAATAACAGTTTAAAACATAAGTTTAATAATGCAATAATTACAAATTGTACATATATGTGAAATTTCAAATTAAACACTATTTGAATCATACAATATTTATTATCAATTATTTATATTAATAACAAAATACTGAATTACTACACCTACAAAACCACACCTAAAACAACAAAAATCGTTAGAATAATACAGGAATGCATGGTAATATTATGATTCGTTTTGTCCTTATCTCTTTTTGTATAAGAGGTATTTGAATGAAGAATGATAGCATCTGCAATCGACAATACCCTTTTTTCCGGGTGTTTTATACGTAATATTTGAAAATAGTATACATGAATGAACAAAACGGTTTCTAAATATATTTTATTTTTAAAGCATAAACATGTAGTAATCGTTAAATGTATCTTTTTATCTAAGTGTTTCTTATCTCCCCAAAACTCGTTGCTAACTCAACAAAATGAAAAGCTGTGAAACTATTTTTTTTCATTCCACATTTAACACCTACAAAGTCCTTCCCGCATTGTACAAGGTATGATCTTATACCGCAGAGCTGGGCTCCATTTGACATTACTTGTCATCAGTGACAAATTACAGTTTTTGTTGTAAGCTAGTGAAATCCTTGCTTCTGATTGGTCATCAATTTAATTTCAATTCAATTCAATTTTATTTCATATAACAATCAGCTATATAGCATAAAATACACATTAAAAACATATTTGACAACCTGAAAGGTAGCATAATCCTTCTATAGAGGTTGACCCTTTTGTATGTATTTTGTATATAAATGACATTGTCTCGTATCATATGTCATCAGCAGATTTGTCACTGCTTTTTGTCATTTGTCATTGAAAAAATGGCTTTGTGAAACGGGTCCCTGATCCGACGTGTTTTGATTCAAGCTTGTGTCGTAACAAATAAAGGGTTAGGACCTACATACGGTTGTGTAATTGACCATGGACTGTTAAGCAATCATAATTTGCTGGCTACACCAATACCGCTTCTTCTTCTTCACACGATTCCCAAATAGTATGAATCTATAAGTAAAGTAACATAATTTGGGGTTTGTTTTTTAAATGGATCTATTCAGATACAAAATCATGGATAACCTCAGTAATATAAATGGAAACGACATCAACAGTAATAATTATAATGATGACGATAATAATGATAATGTAAATTACATTAGTTAGAATAATTTATTATAATAATATATTTATAATAATAAGAGTTTATTAAGTCTCCCTTGTCCTTAAACCATCCATTCCAAGTCCCTACTTAAACATTGAATTGTAATGTGATAATGCGCATTCGTGAGAGATATTGCGAAAGTACACAACTGGCATGCAATCATGCTTTATTATGATTATGAATGACAAGTACAAGCTACAGTTCAGTTCATGCATAAAGGGATGATGTAAGCACATTAACATCTCTGAATAGCGCTCCAAGATACATGTACGAGACAAACCGATCCTTATATAATAATTGCACATTATCGCTAGCTCAGAAGAAAATATCAGGATTGAGATTAGAGGATTCAACAAATGTCAACTTAAAGTGACAGTCAATATAATAGTGTACAAGTAATTGCAAATTTATCATGGTTAGTTAACCTTTTTAGTAACACAAAAAGACCAAGCAAACGGGGGAAATACCTACTGCTTAAAGGAAATGTGGGTCGTGTGAGACATAACCTAATATCCAGACGCAATTACTTTTCTCAATTCATGACGGTGCTTGTTTTGATTGTTAATTCGCTTGCCCTTCACCCAGGATGTTTCATGAACATTTAATCAACTAAACGGGTAAAAAGGACAAAGCTTTGTGGAATTATACCATGGAACAAAGTGCCATCTTGAAATTGAAAACGGGATCGAAGACTCGAAAGTAGACTAATAGTATCAGGCGATTGACCCCGTACTGCATCAGACTTACCATTGAAATTATAATTTCATTCAAATATAGCTCAAGGTCAAAAATTGCTTATGATCGATTTTTGTTGTATGCGGGCAAGTCAGCTTCTCTGATTGCGCGAAACAAAAATTAATGTGCCAACATTTTGTGCGTTGTCTGTAGTAACATCATGGGTTCAGGTCGATGGTCGCTGAATACATGAACGGCAATCAATCGAGATAACCCGCACGGAGATGGCAAAATGAAAAGAGCGGAGAAAGTGCAAAACGATGTGAACGTTTCCACCATGTTGCATTCATTCGGTTGCTTGGATAATGATAGCGCGCGTCTCTATAAATGTTAGCTGGGGTCATTATTTATTTATTTATGCATGTTCACAATTTCACATTTCATTGAAGTTAACATCACATGAAAAATTAATATAATATAACATTGTTTTATCAAAGGCAAGTTGCAACTAATATACAGTTTGAAGAATGAACACACAAAGGTGATGAAACATAAGCAAATAGAGTCGTTACAACACCTTTCAAATATATAATATATGACAAATAAAATTACTAAAGTTTTGTAGTGAACTATTTACACTATTTACAAAGTTAAAAAAAGAAAGAAAAAAAAAAAAAAGGATTTCGTTAAGCCTAGTAACAAAATTATGTTAGATTTCATTAAAACTGATATATAGATTATAATGTAAGTAATATCTTACATCTGTGAAATGATTATACATTTGAGTGCTCTTTTAAAGGAGTTTGTTGATTTTATATTTCTAATATCATTAGGTAAAGAATTCCATACATCTGGACCTCTGTGTCTGATTGATTTCTGGGCTAATGTAGTGTGAGGATTGACCACATGTAAATTCGATGACTGCCTTGTTGAATACGAATGAACCATGTTATTAGGTTGGAACATTGAAGATAATGACGTAGGTAATAATTTGATATTAAAACGGAACATAAATATGACGATTTGGAGTAAGTTAATATCATCAACCTTTAAGCATTTCAGTTTAACAAATAGTGGGGTAGCATGGTCACGATAACCAGCTCGGGTACATATGCGTACAGCTTTCTTTTGCAGCAGAAGAATATTATTAGTCACACACTTGGATGTTGCCCACAAAATATTACAATAAGAGATGTGTGGTAAAATTAGACTATTATATAGCATAAGTAATATTTTATCAGAAACAAAACATTTTATTCTATACAGTACGCCAATATTTCTGGAGATTGGTGTAACAATGTGTTTTACATGGTCGGTCCAGTCAAGTTTTTCATTGATACAGACACCAAGGAATTTCGTACATGTCTTTCTCTCTAAAGAAATATCATCTAGTTTAATATTAAGAGCAAGGATGTCATTAGATTTTCTATACATTATATATTGAAACTTCACGTGACCTTCTGTATACGTATGTAATATAAGTAGGTCCCATTTAAATGTTATACAACAGGTAAGGGTGGTATAAAATAACTCAACGTTTCATTTGGGTTATTTTTCCTTCTGATTCGTAACTCTAACTATGCTTTGTTTATAGTTTGTGATATATTTAATGAATCATGCATGTAGTTAAGCGAGACAAAATGGTATCTCTTTCAAAATCTGACCGACAAAATAAATTCCTTTCAGACTTTATGATTTTTGTCTTTGACGTGATTTTTTCTTCTCACATTCACTACAAAGGAAAACATGAGCAAAACAATGGAACATGAATTTTGTAGATACACAAATAGTTCAAAATTGCTTCCCACAAAACCATGATTTGTTGGAAGCAATTGAATATTTGTGACCGTATACATCTTCATCTTTCGGTTTATAAACCGGGACAACCCGCTAAAAGTAAAACGATCACATTAGGCTAATTAGTTTTGACCATTTTTGTTGTTAAGATACGATAGTTATTAACACAAACATATTTCTTTTACGCAAAATCCTAACTTCGAATTCCATTTACTGATTTCTTTAATCTACTTGGAATACGAATTTGTTATATCTAGAAATTGTATCTTGGGTTATCTTACAAATCAAGCTTTTTTGCCGGGACATCCTCTAACAATCCTGGTGGACAGATTCGAAGATTTTGATTTTCCAAAGGGGAGACGAAAGTTAAACAGCACAGCACCCTTCGAATACCATCGGTGACCCGTGGGG